CAACAAGTTATTCAACTTTAAAGTTTCACGGGAAAGACCAAGTCAAAATCCCCTCGGTGCACGCCCACACGCCCGTCATCTAGCATGTGCGTCACCTCCAAAATAATCACATGACAACAAATCCGGGGTTTCGTACCGTCATGACCAGATTTATAACTGTTACTTACCTCAAAACATGAAATTCTTTACTCTGCTATGCCTTTACCTCGCAATCTGGCTCTGAATGCCTCGAATCTAGTCACAAATAATTCGTTTCAGTCAATAAAATTTATTGGAATTAATTCCATATGAAAATATAGTTTTTCCATAAAAATATGAATTTTAGCTCAAAAATTATCTGTGGGGCCCATGCCACGGAACCCGACAAATATTACAAAATTCGAAAGCCCATTCACTACGAGTCTAACCATACCAAGTTTACCAAAATCCAACCTCGACTCGACCCTCAAATCTTCTAATTAAACCGAAAGGGTTTCCCAAACTTTTCAAATTAATTCACCCATTAAATGATGGATTCAAAGGCATATTCATGAAAATTAATAAAAAATGGATAAGAATCACTTACCCTAAACACCCACAGAAGAATCTCTCCAAAAATCTCCTTCTACCTAGCTTCCAATTTGATTTTGTGTTATGAACTCAAAACCCCATTTTGATACTTTTAATTCTGCCCAGATATGGCTTCATCGCGAATGCGGAAGGAGCCTCGCGTTCGCTAAGCACAAACTCGACTGCCTGGAATTTAACCCTTCGCGAACAAGACCATGGCTTCGCGAATGTGAAGCTTTACCAATCTCACCCTTCGCGAACGCAATCATGGCTTCGCGAATGCGTAGATCAAGGGCCTGGGGTCCCCAACTGCCTTCTCTTCTTCACGAACGCGATCCTATCTTCGCGAACACGAAGCATTAACACAGATCATCTTCGCGAACTCGAGACTCCCTCGCGAATGCGAAGGGCAATTCTTGCCTGCCTCAATTTCCCCTTTGCGAACTCGAGGGCCCACTCGCGAACGCGAAGAAGGAAACCAGAAAAAGCACACCAGCAAGCTTCGGCCAACATGCCAATTCCAAAAATAATCTGTTAACCTCCCGGAACTCTCTCGAGCCCCCCGGGACCTCAACCAAATATACCATAAAGTCCTAAAACATCATACGAACTTAGTCGAACCCTCAAATCACCTCAAACAATGTTAAATCCATGAATCATACCCCAATTCAAGCCTAATGAACTTTGAAATTTCAAGTTTCTGCAAATGACGTCGGAACCTATCAAATCACGTCCGATTGACCTCAAATTTTCATACAAGTCATAAATGACATAACGGAGGTATTCAAATTTTCAGAATCGGATTCCGACCCCGATATCAAAAATTCAACCCCCGGTCAAACTTCCCAAAAATTCAACTTTCGGCATTTCAAGCCAAATCCCACTACGGACCTCCAAATAATTTTCTGGACACGCTTCTAAGTCCAAAGTCACCATACAGAGCTATTGAAATTATCAAAATTTGAATCCGAGGTCGTTTACATATAATTCCACATACGGTCAACTTTTCTAAATTAAAATTTTAATTATGAGACTAAGTATCTCGTTTCACTCTGAATTCCTTCCGGACCCGAGCCAACTAGCCCGGTAAGTCATAGAACAATTGTAAAGTATAAATTGAGCAGTAAATAGGGGAATGGGGGTTATAAACTCAAAATGACCGGCCGGGTCGTTACATTCTCCCCCTCTTAAACAAACGTTTATCCTCAAACGGGTTTAGAATAATACCCGGGGTATCAAATAAGTGTGGATATTTGNACATGAACAATAGCTGCTAACTCAAGATCGTGGACCGGATAATGTTTCTTATGTACCTTTAACTGCTTGGACGCATAGGCAATCACCCTATTGTCTTGCATAAGCACTGTGCCTAGACCAATACGTGAAGCATCATAATACACAGTATAAGACTCTGAACCTGTAGGCAAGATCAATACTGGAGTCGTAGTCAAAGCTGTCTTGAGCTTCTGAAAGCTCTCTTCACACTCATCCGACCACCTGAACGGAACACCTTTATGGATCAATTTAGTCATAGGCGATGCAACATACGAGAATCCCTCCACGAAGCGACGATAATAACCGTCCAAACCGAGAAAACTCCAAATCTCAGTAACTGAAGATGGCCTGGGCCAACTCTAAACTGCCTCTATTTTCTTCTGATCCACCTTAATTCCTTCACTAGACATTATATGTCCCAAGAATTCCACCGAACTAAGCCAGAACTCACACTTAGAGAATTTGGCATAAAGTCTCTCCTCTCTCAACCTCTGTAATACAATACCCAAGTGTTGTGCATGCTCCTCCTGGCTACGTGAGTACACCATAATATCATCAATGAATACCACTACAAATAAATCAAGATATGGCTGGAATACACTATTCATCAAATGCATAAATGCTGCTGAGGCATTGGTTAGCCCAAAAGACATCACCAGAAATTCATAGTGGACATAATGAGTTCTGAATGTCGTCTTTAGAATATTCAAATTCCGTATTTTCAACTGGTGATACCCAGATCTCAAATTAATTTTGGAGAACACCCTAGCTCCCTGAAACGGGTAAAATAAGTTATCAATACGCAGCAAGGGATATTTATTCTTGATTGTAACTTTATTCAACTGCCTATAATTGATGCACATCCGCATAGTACCATCTTTCTTTTTCACAAATAGAACCGGTGCACACCAAGGTGACACGCTAGGCCTAATAAACCCCTTTTCAAGGAGTTCTTGAAATTGGTCTTTCAATTCTTTTAACTCAGCTGGTGTCATACAATACTGAGGAATAGAAATAGATTAAGTGACCTGCATCAAGTCAATACCGAAATCAATATCCCTGTCGGGTGACATACCCGGTAGGTCTATAAGAAATACATCCGGAAAGTCTCGCATGACCGGTACTGAATTAATAATAGGAGTATCTGCATCAACATCTCTCACAAAGGCCAAATATGACAAATATCCCTTTCCAACCATACGTTGGGCCTTCAAATAAGAAATTACCTTGCTAGGAACAAAGTCTAGCGAACCTCTCCATTCAACCGTTGGAAACCCCGGCATCGTCAACGTCACAATTTTTGCGTGACAGTCCAGAATAGCATGACATAGAGACAACCAATCCATACCTAAGATTACATCGAAATCAACCATACCGAGTAATAAGAGATCAACACTAGTCTCCAGTTCCCCAATAGTTACCACACACGACCGATACACA